TCCCCATCTTCTTTCATGCAGCCCTGCCTACAAAGTCTGGTTCTTCCTCCTCAGCTGCAATCCGGTCTTCGGGTCCACAACTTGAAGACAGAGGGACAAAAGTCACTGTACTGACAACAGCAATTGGCCTTACTAGTATATCACATAACATGCAATTTTACGATGATCATCATAGTTAAGTTGTAGCTGAATGAAGGTCCAACACGCTGCAAAAGAAATCCATAATAGTGTGACGTACTGTATTTCAAATGACAAAGTGCAATGTGGAACCAAGGAGGATATACTGGAGACACTATAACCTCTTTTGTAGGACTAATTGTTTGAAGATGTGAAAAGGAGTCTAGAAAGGTGTGACATACTGTGTAATTAAAAGCAGTGCAAGCTTTAGTGACTGGACAAGTGGATTATGTATTAGCATGGGTGTGTTGCTGAGCAAATAAACTATACTCACAACTGTGCCCGCTGTCTTCATTTCCTTCTGCATCTTCAAGTCAACTGGTTTCTCCCAGACTAGACAGCCGACCCTCAGGACACACCTAACAATATGAAAGGATAATAAGTGTCATGGAAAAACATCATGCAATTCAACTATCCCATTGATTGAATAGACTTTGAAGGAGTTAGGCTCCACAAAACTGCTTTGAAACATGTTACAATGTACTTGTAGCATTTTACATGTTAGAGTTCTTAACATACTAGTACATGTGAGCACAGGAATAAGTCATGTAAGTTGTAAAAGTTGCTTGAATACAATCATGTACAAAAATTTAGGTTTTTAAAAGTGTTTAGTAACTGTTACTGGCAGAATGTTGTGCCACAGTTCGTAATACATCCAAGAGGAAAGGAAAATTCAAGTTTTTAAGTATTGTCTCACCTGCATGGACAGGTACAAACTCCTGATCTGGTCTGGTTTGCACAGAAGTCCGCCGTCATCACAGGTTTCTCCCAGTCAGCACAGGAACATCAAGAAACTAAGGATGAAAGGATAATTACTGTAGTATGATGCAAAAACATCTTAGATAACACTGACTAACCATCAAAGATACCGGTAATCATAAATGCTTTAATAGATGTAGAAAGTGTTTGGCTATAGAAAGGTGTTTTTAAACACATTACTGGTTGTGTGTTATGTCTCAGGGTTTGTAACAAATCAGAAAAGGGTTTTAAGTTGTAAAGCGTTGTTTCACCTGTACAAACTCTTCACTGTGTCTTCAAGTCAACAGGTTTGCCAAGACATCATTTGGTCTGGTGTGGACAGAAGTTGTCCATCATCACATGATTCTCCCACTCAGGACAGGGACGTCTGGACAGGGACATCAGGACACACCTAAATGAAATAATGAATAATTAGTGTGATGCTCCCCCAAAAATTCCAGGCAACATTGAGTGACCATCAAAGATAAAATAGATAAAATCTTCAATCATACAACCCCTTTGCTTAGATATATTCACATAGAAAAATAAAGTTGTAAAGCATTGTCTCACCTGTATACAATCTCTTCACTTTGGTCTGTCTTTAAGTCAGCTGGTTGGCTGAGGCCTGGTTTGGACAGGAACATCAGGACTGCTGACCCTAATTATACCTAAATATAAAAAAAAGAACAATAATTGATGCCAGGTATGAATGGAAAACTAGCTACCAAGTAAATATGCACTCTTGTGACCTTGTACTTTGTCTCTTCCTAGAAATGTAGACAAGTGCTAATATATACCAGACATTTATTTAAGTAAGGCAACACAAAATTAATGTGAAAGATGTTTTGCTACATGTGTATATATTATTTTTATAAAGTGTAAGGGAAGAGTGCTGGGGGAAAATGAGTCAAACGGATCTAAAGCATTGTCTCACCTGTGGATGTTGTTGTTGTCATCTTGCTCTTGTGTCTCTAAATTACCCAACCTGGTCCAATCTTCTCTTGTCAGTTTCAGATAGTAGTCTTCACTACTGCATCAGTCAGCAGCCACATAACTACAGACATTAGAAGTTAGACACTTGTCTCAAATAACAATGAGTACATGTAGGTTGAATGCAGAATTCAGATTTTTCTCACCTGATAGCCATCTGAGGTCTTCAAATCACCTGGTCTGGTCCAATCTTCTCTTGTCAGGTTTAAGAAGAATTCACCACTACTGCATCAGTCAGCAGCCACCTAACTATACAGACAGTAGAAGTTGCACACTTGTCGCAAATAAGACCAAATAATTGTAGGTAAAA